CCACGCCAAAAATCCACCAACAGTCAGTTCACAGCTAGGGCTATGATCCTGTTTTTTTTTTTTTTTTTTTTACACTCTTGGCAGAATATATATTCCACAATCTCACAGTTCTCGTTTTCACTGACTTTATGGCAACAAAGCACCTCTAAATTTCAATCAAATGTTAATATGAATGCAAAGGGAGTGAAAAGGGAGATGCATAAAAAAACTCAGGGACTAATTGAGAATGTGCTCAACTTCTGTCGAAGTGCTGTATTTATCTGTCGATGTGCTATATTCTGTCGAAATATAAATCAGAAACAGATATAGAAAAATATAGGCTAAAAGTTCTCTCAATAAGTACCATTAATACACACAATTCTGTTATTCTAATCCTGTATAATTTTGATTTGCATCTGGCACTGTCTGACTCATTAGTTTTCTCTTTTGAGATAAACCTGGAGTTAAGTCGAATGTCTCCTACCCCTGAAACTAAAATAATTAGTCAGCGATAAACTTGTTTAGGTTAATGTTGGTCAGAAATGGTTGTTTTTTCACCTTGAGCAAGTTCACAGAACTGTTAGTGTTGAGAAGGAACTTCAAAGGTCATATAGTCCAACAACTTATTCAATGCTTAGAGGGCTTCCAAAACATAGTACTGTGTCCACATGGCTTCTCACCAGAGCCAAATAAAGAAAAACAATTCTGTAACTTCCTGAATAACACTTATGCTTTTTGAGATAAAAATAACTATCAGCAGCAAATGGAGCTTAAGACTTTCCCTGTGAAAAAAAAAAAAAGGTAAGAGAGTTTTTTGGAGGGTAGTATCACACGAGGGTTCTGTATCTTTTCTAAAACCATTTTCTTAAAATAATACTTTAAGGAGTCACCATAGAATCTTATCTAAAAGGTGTGGGGGGGCATAGAGAAGAAACACTACTACAAAGATATGTTGTTACAAGCTGACCATGGCTTGTACAGACAGCTAACAAGTTTATCTACAATCAGATGTAGAAAGAAATGGTAAGAGATCCAGAGACAACAAATAAGACAGATTGTTAAAAGAGGTGCAGATGGTGGAAGACAAATATCCAATGGTTATGTATCATAGGAAGAGAAAGGAGTTTCAAATATCTAGATACCATCTATAAAGAGAAATAAAGAACATGTCTAAATAGGTACCTTCTCCTGAGCAATTTGTATGTAGTAATAACTCCTAAATATGTCATTTCATTTAATCTTTCTAACAACTCTGAGGTAGAGAACAGCTTTATCTTATACATGAAGAAACCATTTATTTAGAATGCTTTAGACTTTCCCAATGTCACATAGCTAGCAAATGGCAAAGCTAGGATTTGAAACCATGTCTGCATGAACTGACTTCAAAACTCTTTCTTAACCATTATGCTATACTGACTGTCTAGGACAAAAGACTCTAAATGAAGACCCAATCAATTAGCTGCTTCTGATGTGTATAATAACCAGATGCCACTGTTAATGTAGAAAATTTTGTTACTCTCTTGCTTCAAAGCTTCCAATGATTCATTTGGCCTACAAGATAAAATTCACTAATAACTGTACTTAACCCTTTTCCTCTTTTATCTGACCCCACAATACTTATTAATGTAGTGTGAGGTCTACTATTCAAAGTCAAATGCTCTTCTCCAGCTGGACTGATCCTCTACAGTCTTCTGCATCTACCTCCTTTCCTTACTGATGGATCATGCTATCCATCCTGCCAAATGTCTGGCCTTACTGTCCTTATTTTTCACTTCCATCTCCCTTCAAATGAATCCCACTCAAATTCTACTTCCTTCATGAGACTTTAACCATTTCAAGCTCTACTGATTTCTCCTTTCTTCGTTTTCCTAGTCTTTACTATGTATTTTTGGCTCCTTAAATCGAGTCTATTTTTAATATAAGTTCTTGCTGTGAATTATAAACACCTTGAAAAAAAGTACTAGGACTTAGTATATCAATTTTTTAAACCATTAAGCACCTAGCAGGATGCTGTGCACAGGGAAACCACAGAATTTAAATAACTGTTAAATGAATGAAGTCAGCTGGGATGTTTCCAAGATCAGACATCAAAAAATTTTAAGGGTAAGTCAAAGGGAAGTAGAGTCTAAGCATAAAATTTCCATTTAAAGACTCCTTTCTGGGGAAGTATCAAGTGAGTCAATAGTCAGTGGAACACAAAATAAAGAGTTTTAGCCTCTCTCTCTGCTCTGGGCTGGTTTCTCCCTCTCTCAACTACACTGTAGATGCTCTCATTCTTGGGGGCCGGGTGCGTATGTGTGTGTTTCCACTCCCATATTCTAAAAGGCATGCTTCCAGTGTTTCTTATAAATTTCTATAAAACATATCTCAATAGAAAGTTCAGTTATCATGAAAAAACCTAATTTCTTTCTTTAAAACAGTAACAACGACAACAACAGTTTGCTGGGCAGTATCTGGAAGTCCATTTATTTTTTTTTCTTTTAGTTAATTAAATTAATGGGAAGCAGTAATTTGATACCAGGAAGAGAACAAATCGGAGAGGAATTCTGGGAAAGAAACATTTATATAACTATGCTAATAAATCCTGTACCCGGCAAAAATCCCATTTCCTCTATAGGGATATTAGTCTTAAAATGATAGACCTACACTATAAATTGAAGTGAGGGTAAAGAAAAGTTTAAAAAATATTTTTTTTCTCTACCCACCAAAGTAATACTAACATGAAGTTCTGTTTACTTCCTTCTGTAAACTATTAGTAACACCACAGTACCCTGGGGAATAAATCTGCTCATGAAATGAACTACTACCAACAAGATTTTCAAAATTTTGTCAGTAGCTCATTTATGTCAAGTGTTTAATTCAACAAAATATAACACCTAGCTAGTAACAACTAAACCAGCAGTTAATTGTTCACCTTAGCTGACTGAGGACTAAATTTTACCTCACTAATATCTCATCTTGGTTGTAAAGCAGTTCCAAAGTCCATAGGACAATAACAAAAGTTTATAAGGAAAAAATACAGGTCTCTGCTACATTCCACTCTCAAACTACTGGTAATTTATCCTAGGCAATCATTTGAGCTATTTTTAGTAAACCAGATGTGTTGGGCAACAGCTACCTTAGGGATATTCTGAAACCAGAGCCAATAAATTTGTATCATCAATGATGTAAAACTTATGGGTCAAAATGGACTCAAGCAGGGATAACAACCTTTTCACTGAGCAATACAGAAATGACAGATACACAGATGTGACACAGTCCAGACACATTCATTAACTAAGTATTTTAAGACTCTTCTCTGTTCAAGTCTTTAAGCAATTTTTAGTCCAGGTACTAAGAAAATACTGAGGTTTGCTCCACCTGTTCCCTTTTTCTTCAACCAGCAATTCACAGCACAGTAGTACTATATCTAATATTAGTAAAGCAATTCAATGTGCACATTCTATGATGACAGAAACTGCAGCATTAATAGTCCTATCCCTAAACTTTTATCACTTTATTATGACCCAGAACTTCAAAAAGGATCTTTCCTTCAGGTCTGTGATGAATCTACCTTATAGTAGGAAAAATACCTCATTACTACAATGAATTTTAATACACAAGAAGACAAACAGGGTATAAAGTTGAACAAGCACATTCTGCTTCAAATCTCTAATAGTTTTAAAGCAGTGCCCTTGGTATTACCCCTTTATTACATTTAAAAACAAAGAGAATCGAGATCCCTAGAAAATACTGGACTAACAAGCCAGACCAACCCAGATTTGTTGAGATGAGTCATGTACAATTTTCAGGTAAGAAATAATCTCTTCTATATCCTCTATGAAGCAACCAACCTGAAAACTGCAGGTGTGTGCATGGCCAGAAGCCAAAATTCTGAACAAGATGATTTCAAAATCATGCTAAGAGTTCAATGTTCATATTTCATTATCAAACTTTTTTCAATGAACTTGATAAAAAACTTCAAATTTTAATGTTTTTTTAAATTTTCTGTAATCACCCTGCAAAGAAAAGCAACCATACCACACAAAAATAATAGCAATTAACGAAACAAAAACAAAACCCCAAACTATGAAAGGCATCTTTCAGAATCAATAATTTGATTTTTTCCTCCTTCTTCCCAGCCAGTTGAAAGACAGAGTAGAATGTGCAGAGTTCCCTCCTACTTCCTCTCTTTTCCCTTCCCCCTCTACTTCAAAGAAAGTTAACTGCAGCCAGGCATGATCAGGAAATCTGAAAGGAGGAAGCAGAAACTCATTTGTGTGCATAAGGAAGAAAAAAAAAACAGAATTAACAATACCATGCTGCTACAGTGACCTAATTAATATGCATAGATTGTATTATTTAGAAGATATTGGTTTGGTTTTTCTCCTCATTCAAGTTTCTTTCCAAAAGAGTGAAAACTACAACAGTGATTGTACCCCAATTCCCCAACTACATGCCACCTAAAAAAGTGACCAGATCAACTTTAATACGCGGCATGTGATACTCAATGCACTGAAATCAGAGGTTAAGTGTAGGATTCAAACCAGTGACCTAAAAGTGAAATGATCTATATTCATCTTAGTTTCCTAACCACTACACCTTAAACAATGTTACTTTCCTGATATATCAAAAAATAGGGCTGTACAACTATATAAAGGAAATTAAAGGGAGCATACTACTACAGAATAAAATGCTGAGAATGCAAGGAGAAAGATGGTAGGTGGGAATTCCCACTATGAAAACATTTGTGAGAATTTTTAGAACAAAAGTTATGTGTACTCATCACTCCATACACAAAGGCCATTTCTAAGGAAGGTTTTCCTCCATCACACTTAAGAAAACTATAAAGGGTAATTAACATCTAGATTCAGAAGAAATTGCCTCATGCAATTTAAAGAAATGAGAAAAAAATAAGGAGAACATTTAAAAAAACGTGTTCAATTTTCCCCCGAACTCCCTTTGACTTATATAAGGTTACCCTAAAGTTAAGATATGTCAAGACACTATTTACAAAATCTATGCCAGTAACAGCTGCCATGTTTAAGATGCCAAGGAATTTAATGTACTGTTTGGACAAGTGGTTAGAGAAAAGCATTCTGGGATAAAGCCACTCTAATTACACGAACTCTAAAATTGTTTCCTTTATTGTGAATGTAGCTAGCTATATTTCACAAACTCATCTAAATAAATAAATTTGAAAAACTAGACTGAGCCATCTTAGGTATGTGGAGTACATTTTCATTCAAAATGTTACAATAGGTGTCTATCATTTACATATTAGAGAAAATATCCTTACATATTTTTTAACCAGATTTAATAAGACACTAAATCTATTAAAATACACATAAAATAGCTCTATTATAGATCATCTATTACTTTTAAAACTCCTAAGAAATTCTAAAATTAAGGTATGCTGGATCCCTGAATCAAGTGCTGTTAGTATAATTCCTTCTGATTTTTTAAAACTGAGAACTCAGATTTGTGAAAGACAAATGGTTAAAAGGTCAAGAGAGGGGCGCCTGGGTGGCGCAGTCAGTTAAGCGTCCGACTTCAGCCAGGTCACGATCTCGCGGTCCGTGAGTTCGAGCCCCGCTTCAGGCTCTGGGCTGATGGCTCAGAGCCTGGAGCCTGTTTCTGATTCTGTGTCTCCCTCTCTCTCTGCCCCTCCCCCGTTCATGCTCTGTCTCTCTCTGTCCCAAAAATAAATAAACATTGAAAAAAAAAATTTAAAAAAAGGTCAAGAGAAATCACTTCACCTTTAGAAGACACAGTATTCTTCTAGGTTAGAGATCAACTGGCCTATACCAGCAGAGCAATATAAACAGGTTACTAACAAAGACAATCATACAGTTCACCAAATCAAATAAGACTTTAGCTCTTGTGCTTTTTTAAATAAAATTATGTAATTAATCAGAATCTAAAAGCTTAACATGTAAAAAACAAAAAGTCACCCCAAAACCCCTATAAAATGCTAGCACATTCTTTCAATGATTATAATTTTAATAAACATGTTGTGGAGTTTTAGGCCACCTGGCAAAAGAGTTTATTTTTAAAAGTAATTTCTACATAATGATTTCACTTCTCTAAATCAAATCCAAGCTGAAACTTCCAAAGTGCTGCTAATCAGCAACCACAAAATTAAAACATTAAGGGCTGGAAGGTTCCTTTGATTTTACTAGACTCATCCAGTCTAATTCCCACTAAAAGACTGTTAGAAATGAAATTATAATAAGGCCTAGAGTTAAGCTAAATGGCATTCACAATTATAAACAAAACAAAATAAAACCCAAGGGAAAAGCTCAACACCTCCAATATTATACCGGAACTTGCTATGAATTTTTAGCTATAAATACTGTAAACAAAGAACAAAAAAGCTAACAGTACAAAAACTAGGTCATTTAATGAAATAAGAAAAATAATGTGAAAGGACAAAGAATATCTTTGTAGACTTCAAAATAACATCTAACTCAGGAACTATCATCCCATTCTGGTAGATCTAACAGAAGATGCACATAACTACTCTAATTCCCTAAGTATTATAACTCCACACACAATAAATCACTGCTCATTAACTCAGCTCTTGTTCTTTCCATGGAAACGATGCCTCTATATTTTATTTTCGGAAAACAGTAACTATTCTGAAATGAAATAGGAGTACTGACTTTCAGCTCCATTAAAAAAAAAACATCAAGCTAGTTCACTCATCCTTTCTTTCAATGCAATTATTTTAATCACTTAAGTAAAAAATGCATGGAAGAGATTTAATTCAATCTGAAATCCAAATATATAAAGAAAACAAACTTCTGTTCATTTTTACTTATACCTTAAGAAACTAACCGACAACTTCACTAGAAATTTTAAAACTCACTTAGTCTATTTTTGATAGGAGTTTCTTCACATGATTTCTATCTTAAGGTCTACTAGAAAATATTTTTCCAATTAAATGTATTTGTATTCAGACTGTAACTGGGAACTAAAATTTAGAAAATGAACAATTAATGACAGTCTAATGGAAACTTCTCACTTAAAAAGAACTACTATTACTATATGCATAAACATTAATCTCATTTAATTACATTAATTGACCCAATTCTTAATCTTTAGAGCTTGGAGAAAAGGTAATTTATACTAATATCTAACCAGTTATTTTCTAACAATGAACATTATTTATAATGGTAGGGACTTAATTTTGCTCACTTGTGTATTCCCAGCGACAGAATGCTGCCTGGCTCATAGTAAGTTCTCGGTATATAAATCTGTTGACTGGATAAATTAACCATTTATCCTATAATTAAAATTTATTGAAAGCACTGGGTTTCTTGCACACTACATGTTTGTTCTAACTATTTAAAAGAATATCTACATTACCAGTGAAGTTTAAAGATTAGCTAACTTTTAAAAGCAACCTAAAATTTCTTACCTGGTAGGGTTGAAAGGCACTATCTTCAGTTAAAAAATCCAGTTGTTTATCTACAAGGAATTCTACCGCAGTGATTGAACTGGGTATACTTTTTTCAACCAGGGGTTTGAAAGTCTGGTAAAAGAAAAAAAATTTATAATGGTTATTTTCTCGGTTTTATATTCAAATACGAAGGGTATATATGAATACAATGCTAAATGTCATTATTATAATGGTTTTAGGATACCAATTAACATTAGTTTTTATATTATAATCTAAATGCTTTTATCCATACAATATTTTGTATTTGAAAGGAATGAAGTAGATGTAGAGGTTGTTTATTTTAAAAATCAAATATACATGGTGTATAAAAATTTCTAATATAAAAAAAGAAATTGCTTCTGAAATAATAAACTTGGTAGGAGAGCATTCTACTCCAACTCTCTTTTAAAAAAGTATTAAGTATTAATCTTTATAAAAACAGAGCAGGTATAGTTTATAGTTATTTTTTTCCTAGCTCATTCACATCAAGGATTTTAAATGATCAGGATGCATCTGGTCTTTTAACTCCACCCCGTGTACTACCCACCCCCGCCCCTGCCCCTGCCCCAAGCACAAATAAAAATCCAGCTGCTTCAGTGAGAGCAGCGTGGGGGAAGGGAAGCAGGAAAAGAGGGAGGTAAGAAGTATTACACAAAATCCACCTCTCAGTCCAGACTCTACTACTTTAAAAATCAAACGAAGGCACAAACAAACCAAAAATAGAGGATCCATGGTGATTTGATTATTTTAAAGAACACTGGCTCATCTTTTACATAAAGGAGTTTTTACCTATATCTTGGGGTAGGGTGGGAGTGAGGGAGGCGGAAGAGGAAGGAAGGAAACAAACGCACTATGTATGCATTTTTTTAATTACTGTCACACTTTCGAAGCAGAAGCAGCTTGAATAAAAACCCAAGTGTCATATCCTCGGTACTTTTCTAAAAACTTAACATATAATGGCTTTACTATTATAAAAGAATCAAAGTTTGGAAAATGGAATTAACCAACTTAGTTTATAAATTACCTATAGAACATGGAGAAATCTTTCTTGTTACAAGCCAACTTCGGTTTGGATGCAAACCAAAGCTTTTGGCACAGACAGTAAAAATGCCCAGGAGGTTCAAAGCCATTGTGTTTCCCCTTCTCTTATTAGGTCTTAAAGAAATCTAACATCCTGCTAATCACAGCTAATATGCACTCTGGGGAAAAAGTTTTCAAGATCTTTAGTTCAGAGTGGCTCTTAAGGAGTTAATTTCTGTATTTAAGAAATTCCTTTTAAAGCTTTCGATTTGATTCATTGAGGAGTCTGTACTGTTAAACACATGGGGGAAAAATAAGCATTTTAAAGAAAACTTAATTTCTACACGATACCATGAACTTAGAAATAATATCTTCCTTCCAAAATTAAAATAACATGAAAAAAATACTCTTACATTCCCACTTATTTTCAGTATTTATAATTAGAAAATCGAACCACAGTAATAAGTTCTTTCCTCCCCAGTCAGTCCTAAGGCTAACCTTTTAAGTACTACATATGTATCAGGAGTATTCTTATCTGGGTGAGAAATTACATTTCAAAACAGACATTCTCCCATTATTTAGCTATCTCCTGCTACTGTTGCCATCTAGCAAGTTTCCATTTACCAAGACTAAATTCCTAAGATTATTTCATAAAATCCTATTATTTTACCTAACAAGTGACTAAAGTTTTGTAAGCAATCCAAGAGCATTTATCTTATTTAGACTTTAAAATGCCTACCACTATGTGATTGACATGAAATACGTAATATTTTTCATGTTATATCTTGGTTTAGTTTTTAGTAAACTAGAAAACATTGGCACCTTTTCAAGACTTGATTTAATCCTTGAACTTTATTCAAATGCTCTATTTCTTTTCAAACAGTACCATGTCAGGTCAACTCGGGAAGGTTAACAAAAAGGTCCACAAAAGCTATTATCTAAGTGGCTAAAGGTACAATTCAATTAAGTAGGATTTGAAAAAGAAGTAAACTCCTGTCTGAGTGCCTCTTTCTTACGCAAATAATACAGGTGGTTTGCATTTCCTATGAGACCTAGTCATTTTATAATATGAAAAACATTCTTGTGAAGAAAATCTCTCAGAACTCAGCTATTTAAGGTAGGTCAGAGTGCTAAGGGTAAATTTTAACAGGCCAACTAATCATGATTTAAATTACTAAGTTTAGTTTCTAGGCTAAAATAAAATTCTCTTAAGGTAACTAATTGAAAGCCATTGGGAGAATTTAGCTACCAGAAATGTTAAAAAAAAAATAGTTTATAAACGTCTATTTCTGATAATAATCATGTACAAATGGAGGTCAAGAGTATACATGCTTCTTAAAATAGTATTAAATAGGGCCACAACTTGCAAATTTTAAAATGTACAAATTATATTTAAGCTAAAAATATGTTCCAAGCAAGTGCTGATAAACACTTTTACAGTACTTTGAAAGAAATGTTCCAATATGTATTAAATAAACAACCCTGAAAATGTGTGATTTTTACTACTTTATGGAAAAATTAAAGACAAATGACATATGTAATTAAGTAGTTAAAAAACACTGACTTTTTTTGAAGTGGAAATCAACGATGTAACCATTATTAGTATTTGTATCCAAGTCAAACACATTTCAAAGACATGTTAGTTTAAAAAATAAAAAAATATTTAAATAAAGTGAATGGATCCTACAGCTTTTAAGATGATTCTGTAGTAAATATTTCATGGGTCTAGGTGTAGTGGAATGTAAAGAAACTAGAACTCATACATAACTAATTCAAGACTCTAAAGATATATCATTCTATGAGGAACTTCCACAGCCTAAGGGGAAGCAATGAGCTACCATCTGATGAAAGTCACAGAATATGGCCCTAATCACAAAAAGACTATTATTCGAATGCTGAAAAAAAGCCTTTCAAAATTTAAATAAAAATTGCTAATTTAAAATTGAATAATCATAATTTTAAAAAAAACTTTTGCAATTTTATTAATGGATTAAGAGTTCCTTTAAGGTCCCTTTGTCTGTGTTAACGATACTTTAAAAATAGTCTAAAGCTAAAATAAATACTTAGTTGAGAGCCTGCATTTCTAGTAGGGCCTACACCACGCTATAGGAAGAATGCTTAGAACAACTGTATCCTGTTTGGGGCTCCATGCTGCACCACATTCCATTCACATGAGGAAGAGGAGAACAGATGAGCCCTCCTCAAAAAAACATTTTTAAAATAAATCAACTACAGCTCTCAAACATAACTCAGCTGCTCAAACAAACCACGTTAAAGCTCACATTTAACGTTTAACTAGAAATTCATGGAGTTTATGTCTGCAGTCTGAGTTTCTAACAACCTCCAGTTAACATTTAACAATTCCTTTTCCAAGTTAAAAAAAAATCATGCTCATTAACTACAAAAATCTGATATAAGCTTTACTAAGGGAAAATAAGGAAGCAGAAAACTAAGCAACATTTTAGAAGTCAAGGTTTAGTCTACACACACACACACACACACACACACACACACACACACACACAAAGACTGGAGTGACTTGAAAGAACAAAGTCCAAATTCCCACCCAAGCAGGTCTATTGAAAAACACGATACTGTTAGAAAACAAGTTGGGGGTGGGGACTGGAATACACCACACAAAAAACCCTCACAAAACAAACACCCTCACTTCCCTTAAAACACTATATTCTAAAAATGCTAATCTGAAACATTTCTGCTCTAATACTTTAAACAAACTCTAGTTTTTAATCTTTTTACAGTGTTATGAAATTACTACACACACAATAATTCCTTCTAAACAAACGAGATAGTTAAAATTTCTTAAAACTAAGAACACTAAGGCTCGACCAATAAAAGGCAGTGACCTTAATTCCTAAGGCTGAGAAGTAAAACCAAATGTAAATTAAGACAAAAGAAAAAAGGAAGCAGAAAAATACAAACCGTACTTTGTTCTTTAAAATTTGTAAGTATCTTTAAATCTCAGAAATCCACGACACCGCTTTAAAGGTCAAGAAGTAGCTGACATTTCCATTTCACTCTTGAGCAGGATTTTTTATCTAGCCTAAATACTTCTTTAGTCTTCAAAAATCACAGGCAAATGGCTCTCAAACCAAGCATTTCTGAGCTCACTTGCAGCGTCGTCATTGTATAGGAAGAAAAGCCAAGACCACAGAACGAAGCAGAGCTGTAACCTAACAAGTCTCCGACGAGCAAATGACGATTTTCTGTCTGCTCTGGCTCAGCCCTGGCAGCGATGAGGATT